TTTGCAGGATTTCTTTCGTCAAGTTTAATTGCTAAAGAGTTTTGTGCGATTCCCCATTTAAGTAAGTTTAGCCATATATCGATTTCTTCCATTTCAAGTTGTTCGCATTTTAATAGTCGTAAAAGGAGAGATTTATCAAGCGATAAGTAATCGGACGAACCAAAAATTATATGAGGATTTTCACAAATTGCTTGCAGACAATAATCTCTTAAGGAAGCGCATATGTCGTAAAGGAATACAGATTGGACGAACCGGATGGGATTCCTAATTAACAGTTCGGATTGATTATCGATTAAGTATTGTTTTATTACTTCTACAATTTTCTGAAGACCCAATTCGTCGGCAGCCACAAGAATTTTTATTAAGTCAGTGCCATCTTGTTGTGCCAAGTCTATTGTCCCAGTGTATAAATATCTGTGAAATTTAGAATATATACATGTCAGAATTGTCGAAAACAATTTTTAAGAATTCAAGAAATGCAACAAGAAAAAATTATCCTCACTGTAAGATTTCCTTAAAGGTTCTTGGAGAAATATTTGGCTTGCGAAATACAAAACTATCGCCTTGTTTTTTAGCCCATTTACTTGACAGTGCAGTTTGAAAATATGGACACCTTGCTGCTAGCATTACTGAATGGGTTCTGAATTCTTTAACATTCGGTTCTTCCCCGACTTGAATTACAACGTCGTAACCAGCACCTGTATTTAATAATTCAGCCATGTCGTCGGAAAGGTCAGTTAAAAATTTGTGAGATGGTGGGAGCAAGATACTATTCTCGTGGGATTATACGAGCATTGAAGAGACAAAATTGGAATTATTTTTTCAAAGTGTTAATTATGATAATGTTAATGCTGCTTATTGGATTGGTGATTATTAAATATGAGATTTATTGGAAAATTAACGTTATTGCGAAATGGTTTATTATACATTTGTATAAATCAGTGAATAAGTACACAAAAAAAATTGTAATGATATTAAATCGGTATAGAAATTGGAGATAGAATTATTTATTCACGTGTATAAAAAGCAATAAAATAAATTAGCAATAACGTTTGCATTATTATCTTTACTCGAATTTATCCTTTAGCAATTAAATACAGTCAAACCTCCCTAAGTGCACCCTCTCTAAATGCACGCGATAGCTTGGTCCCGAGCTTGGGACTTAGAGCTAAATGCACATCCTCTAAATTCTGCACGTGCAAAAGATTTTGAACTCGGGACTTACGTGTCATTCACGTGATTATTATTTAGAATGTTTATAATTTTATTGGCTACCTATCACATGACTCTTGCCTGCTAATTCCAAGTAAACATGTTCGGACCTCATTCTAATTAAGGGTAGGGTGTACAAATTTCCAATTTCATATAAAATAGATTGTAGATCAACTTTGTGTAATGAATTTTAT